CCATTTCTCCGCTCGGCCTATGTCGTTTTCGATCAGGATAACCACCAAGTACATTTAGCGCAGGGCGCCAATTGTGGTGTCAACGTGGTCCCGATCCAGTCAGGAGCAGATTCTGTGCCCTCGATTACCGGTGCGTGTTGAAAGCGCATCGTTATGGAGGGAGCAAACTGTTTAAGCTAGAATAGCAGACTACGAATAGTGATTGAACTGTAGTCTATAAGCTAGGCGATGGGGTTTTCTGCTAGACACGAAAGTTTAGAGAATTAGCAAAACTCCGCTCTGACTTATAATCATCCATTTATAGTCATATGGCCCCTCTACTTCATAACATATGTTAGAGTGTTCTCCAAGCCTTCCCAACGTGCATGCCGCTTTGGAGCTGCGCCTGAGCGCGCAGAACCTATACCATTCAAGTATTACCTAGCTTCTCGACACCTGCCATTCTAGAAAGCCTCCTTATCAAGCACGTTCGAAACGCCATCAAATGCTCTCCCTCTCAGCTCGTAAGCCAGGTTAGCTCTACGCTGTAAACATGTCTGTAGTCCTATTCACCCGGCCTTAAGAACCAGCAGCGCCAGCGGTGGTTACCCGTGGCTAGGTTCTCAATGATCCTACGCTAGGATTTGGTAGCATCAACTCGCCTTGAGTTGATTCCAGTTAAATAGATAATCACTACCTTGACTTAATGATATTCAGATATTACTTGGTTATTCAGTACCCAAAAAGACTCCTACATGTGAATAGATGAAGGGGGAATCCGAATTGATACAAGTCAACAAGTAGCAACTCGATTTGCCGGCAACGCTAGGTCTTGACCACTTCATGCCTACGATAAACACGCTCTCCTAGCACCTAGCCTCTATGAACTGGTACGCTTTATGAGTGGGATATCACAGATATATATAACAGCTCTACCGCCCTTTATTTACATCACATAGATTTCGTAACACAGATTTATACAACATATGCCCAACAGCACACAACAACATCCCGCTCACCCCAACTCACCACTCACCACCCCAGCTCGACCCCGCAAACGGATTCCACCCAGGCTGTGGTGTACTCTGCTTTTGCTCTTGCTCCCGGCGGCGGCGCTTCTCGAGTTTCTTGACGCCCTTCATGCTCTTGCGTGGCCGCGAGCGCGTCGACGCGGCCGTGACCTTGGGCTTGTTGAGCAGCCAGCCGTTCATGGGGCGGCGGGCCGCGATGAACTTCCCCTCGGGGCTGTACACGTCGACGACGGGCCAGTTGGGCTCGCCGTCGTCCACCGCGTGTTTCCTCTCCGCTAGTAGTTGTAGGGAGCGCGCGGCCCGGCGACTGGTGTCCTTCCGGGAGTCCCTGCCTATGGCTTCTAGTCTCTCGAGCGCGGAGAGGGCACGCTGGGGCTGCTTGTCCTGAGGCTGAGACAGGGGGTTTTCCTCTGGGGGCGGAGCGATCGGGTTCGGTCCGTACAGATCCCGCGTGCGCACCTGCGCCACGATCTCGACCCAGCCGACGCCCTCGATGAGGATGTCGGTGGCCAGGACGCGGTACGGCAGGCGATCGACGCTCAAGCCGATGGAGTCTCTCCTCGTCAGCGGGCCCGAGCGCTGCTTCGTGACGTCCCACCTGAGCTCGAAGGAGCCGGCGAACTTGGTCTTCGCGCCGGTCCCCTCGACCGCGATGTTGTCGATATTGACCTCGCCGGTCTGCCCCTGGATGGCGATGGCCTTGTCGGTTCTCGACACGTGGGGCGTGATGGGCGTGAATGCGTAGGTCAGCATGATGGGCGCTGGTTCTCGTGGCGTGATGCGGATGAACCCCCCCAAAAGCAGGGATTGGCTCGGTTTCAGCGTCATTTGCGTTGGTACCATCCGCGAACGCATGATGAGAGACAAGCGGTGCTCTGGCTTGACATATTTTTCCAGCCCTGTGCGTTCCAAGCCAGGCAGATCGATCAACTCGCCCCGCCCGTTTCCGAAGGGTACACGGATGGGGGATGCCGTTGTCCCCGGAAGATCCGAAACCAGAGGCATTTCCGGATAGTTTACTTCCTTCGGCGCCCGCGGCAGGAGATATACTTCATCAGGTAGGAAGGAGTCATCACCAAGCTTCTCTTTCAACAACATATCAAGCCTTCTCGCTTCCGCGGCCTCTTCTTCGGCGTCCGGAGGTACTTTTGTTCCTACTTCTAAGTCTTCTTCCGTTGATGCAGTCTCCCCCTTGTTGGGGTTGTTCGCGCGCATATCAATTGCGATCTGATGTTTCGAAGGCGTCCAGTCCATTCTGCCCTTGGGAAAGACGGTTTCAAACAATTGACTCTTGCCGACATTGACCTTGCCAACCATCCAGCCAGCTCCACCCCGTTCCCAAATATCCTCCTTGAGCTCCTTGGTCCACCAGCCCCTCTTGGCACTGACAACGGCCATATTGCCTAGGCGAACATCCCGTCCTGTCCGCCCTAGAGCGTCTCGAAGTACCTCTTGTAAATATGGAAATAGTCTGTCTACTTGTTCTTTTTTCGGCGCAAGTAGGTCGGATCGGGTAATTATGAAGCTCACTTCGGTTTTCTTGTTCCTATAGAACCGGCCTGCTCTGGATCGACGATTACGCGACCTTAGAGGCGAAGCCTCGAGTAATTCAGTAATATTCGGCAATATAGACATGGGGAAATCGGCAGCGTCTAGGACGTGGTATACATGGTTGTATTTGTATGGGGACTCTAGGACAGTGTCTCTGATAGCATCCATAGTAGGGTGGTAAATCGACTCCCCAGTATGATTATGCATCAAGTAGTGGCACCTGTCGCAAAGGGGCGGCTTTGGAGCTGGCTGATGACCTGTCTCCGTCACGGGACCAAGGCTCATGGTAAGTGCCTGCACATCCACCCCCTGTTTTTCCAACTCTTCATGGTCCAAATTCTTGAGCGCATCTTCGTATATTTTATCCTCCTGGCGAGAACGATCTGTTTCCGTTCCAGCCCCAAGGAATGTTCGAACGGCCTTGCGACCAAGATCGAAATAGCCTGGACGGTTGGGAGCCTCGGTTTGCGACAGAGCGCCACATCCCCGGCATTGCCTCGGCAACTTATGAAGTGGTAGACCTTGATGAACACTCTTGCTAGGATCTGGGAAGGTCTTAGCGGGTGGGTAAGATTCTATGTACAAGCTCCGTGTTTGGGGTCTCCATCGTGAAGCTCGAGCTCGAGACGATGATGTGACGGTACTGAGTCCTCGACGATGCGACGGAAGACTAATCGACGGGCAAAGGAATAACGGCAACTCAACCCTTGCTGGTTGCTCTGCGATGTTGAGGGCAGAATTGAGCCATCTTGAAGATAAAGCCCGGTGCATTATACCATCTAAAGGGAGAAAATAAGAAAGATACGCCACGCCACGTGAGGTTTAAACAGTATAGAAAAATAAAACTTTAGAAGCATGCTAGAATAAAAAATTCAGACCCGCAGTGACGATCGGCCTGAGACCCTGTCGTTCATTAAGTTAATCTAACCGATATGTATTTAATCGATAGTCAATCGATAAGCCACCCGTCCCCATAATATTCTGTACTACGTATGTACGTACCTGCGCAATGCATCGTTACTTGCATCTGATTTGAACACGAATGAATTGTACAACGCAGCCTTGCACCACCTTCAACCTCCCACCTCAACAAAACAAAAACAACATCGAAACTCACAGGCCAGCTTCATCATGACGGAAGGCGTCCAAGCAAGCGAGGATGCGGCAGCAGCTCGAGCAGCCGAGCAGGCACGTCTGCGCAAGGAACGACGAGAGGCCAAGATCAAAGCTGGCGGAGCCGCACGGCTGAACAGGATCACAGGACTTGGCGGTGGCATACAGCGAGGTACGGATCTCTCTCACCGCACCAGTAGCCAGACACTCAATTCTAACCAGAATTCCCATAGATCCCCAACCTCAACCAGAGAAAACCGAAACCGCTACACCAGCAACACCCCCTACGGCCTCGTCAACCCCATCGGAGACTCCCGCTGCAGACGAACATGGCGACCCGGAGGAAGTTGATATCTCGCAACACTACTACGAACCACAGACAGCGTCCCGAAACCGTACAACTGACTCGCCCAGCCCCTCCGCAGACCAACTCCGCCAGATGATGATGGGCTTGGACCGGCCGTCCCCGGGAGGCGGGAACCCGTTCCTAGGCGGCGGTGGACCACCTATGCCCGGGTTGGAGGGCCTAGAGGGCATGGAGGAGGACCCGATGATGAAGATGCTCTCGCAGATGATGTCGGGCGCAGGCGGGCTCCCCGGTGCCGGCGGCAGCCCCGGCAGTGGCGGACCCAACCCGTTCGCAGGCACGGGCTTCGAGGGGCTCTTTAGTAACGGCGGCCTGGGCGGGCCGAACCCGATGCAGCAGGCGGCACAGACGGCAGCGAACAAGACGGCGAACCTGTGGCGGGTGCTGCACGCGATCTTTGCGCTGGGGCTGGGACTCTACGTGGCGCTGTCGACGACATTCACGGGCACGCGCGCCGAGCGCGAGAACCTCGAGATCCGCAGCACCGGGCTCCTGGGCGAGGACCGCGTCGAGCAGACGCGCGCATACTTCTTCTACGTGTTCACCTCCGTCGAGGCAATCCTGTTGACTACCAGATACTTCTTCGATAAGGACCGCTCGCCACCTTCGGGCTGGATGTGGACGGTCAGTGGATTCTTGCCCGTGCCCGTGAAGGGGTATGTGCAGCATGCGCTGCGGTACGGACAGATCTTCAGTACTGTGCGGAGCGATGCCCTGGTTTGCGTGTTTGTGATGGGGGTGTGCTCGTGGTTGAGAGCCTGAGGACAAGAGCCCGTGTACGTATGACCTTGTAGAGAGTAGCGGCGGTTAGGTTATGAAAGCTTGACTGGCTAGATAATTAATAACGAAGGAATGATAAATCATTTTGACTGATACCGACCAACAATGCGATTTTGTCTTGCTCCATCGGTCAACTTCTCTAACATGAGCCAACCCTTACAAGGAGGAAAAGAAAAAAAGGTCAGGAGCTGGACTCGAACCAAGCACCTCCTGGCTGAACGCCTCACTTCTGTCAGAGTTGAAGCTGCTATCCAAGCCGTTGGAATTCTTACCGTTAAACCATCCTGACTTTATTGGTTGGATATCCTATGTCTTGATACCTACTATGAAGGAAGAACCGTAACTATGGAGTCATTCACTGGTGGGGTATGGAGCTTAACCAGACTATAAATACCTAGGTACTCACCTACCAGTAAGTAAGTGAATGAACATCATAACATAAGTCTGGTTGGTGGGTGTGTTAGCACTACCTAGAGAGATTCACCATGCGAGGCAAAGCGCTGGCCCCAGTCCTACCAACCAACTCTAACTGCCGGTGGCGTTCTCACAAGGCAAACAGTTGGATTAGATAGCTCTAGGTATGTATATACAGACCACCAGCACAAAAAAAGAAAGAATAATGTCGGGGGCAGGACTTGAACCATGCACCTCCACTCCTCACAGCCTGTGCGCCCGCGCCCTGGCGACCCGCGCCCTGGTGATATGCACCGGACGGAATATGGAATCCTTACCGTTAGACCACCCCGACGTTGTGATGTGCTTTGCTATAATAGACCATATAGATAGATAGATCGCTTGTCTATACGGTTTGTTGGTTAGTTTGGTACGGAGCAAACAGAGGAGGAGGGGGTTTGGGGGGAGGGGAGGGTGTAGAGAGAGCGGAGGAGTCAAGATATGACTTGGGCAATGCATGAACTTAGGGGTATACCGACTTCACCGTAAGGCTTGTTGTTACTTGTCAGGCGTGCCATATTATACAGAGGGGTTAAGTAAAACCTACAAGACGTGTGTCTGTTGATAGCATCTATCTCTTAGGTCTGTGGTGTTTACTGGCATTATTCTCAATATCAACTCATATTTGGTTTGCATATTCATACCATTCTAATCTTGATGTAGCCTCTTCCAAAGCTTTATATCTCCTCAGCCACTTACAAGTCAGGTAACGGAACACTAGGTTAAGCAAGTCACATTTTCATGACATGGAATTGGTCAATATTATATATTACATGGCCCTAGTCTAATCAGCAAAGAGTGCTCAGAGGCACATAACTTAGAAACTAGAATGCAGTACGAATAACTACTGTGAAGTAGGGGGTGATGTACGAAGTGCACGTGAGTACAAAGAGTACGCTTTGGTAGAAGTTATATATATTAAAAATGGTATCTTTCACTGTCAACAAGTAAAAGAAATACTACATATACGGACGTGGTTTATGCTAATGTGAACTGTTGTGCAATATTACAGTAGTTTTCATGTATCCTTTTCATAACCACAATATGCCCCTTTTCCAAGTCCATATTTTGGTGAGGACAAAAATACCCCAGTTCCGCTTAATGCAAGATCTCGATCAAGAAGCCCCGTTCTTCAGGACCGTTACCATGATAATACAGCCCTAAAACTTTGAATAGAAAACCGGCACACCAAACCCTTACGCTTCTAAAACCGAACGCAGTATCCCCCCCAACACGCCACGAACCCTCTGCGGGTTCTCCTTAACACACGTGAACACAACAGCCGTACTAAACGCAAAGGCAAACGTTTCCCTCCACTGCTTCTCGAGGGCGTAGCGGCGCGGCAGAAACGTAGACATTGCACGCGGGGCCACGAAGAGCGCCATGTCCTTACGCCGGCCCGGGTTCTCGAGCAGGATGCTCCACCCGCAGACGAAGCAGCCGGTGCCGACGCAGATGCCGCTGTCGATGGCCTGTCTGGATCCCACATCTTGCCCGATGATGTGGGGGCCTAGTCGTGTGCGTGCTAGACACACGCCGTAGTAGAAGAATGTGATGAACGCCGCTAGGAACGACGAGGATCGCGCCGCCGAAAGGAGTGCGGTTCGGAGGCCTTGCAGGTTCTTCTTCCTAGCTAGCAGATTTAATGGCAGGTACGTGGCCATGGACCACTTGAAGGAGCGGTAGAAGCGAGATAGGGCGTGATATTCGCAGGACGGGCCACAGCCCACTACACGACCACCGAGTTAGTAAATATCCCCTTTACATAAATTCGAGAGCTCTAGACCGATTCTCGGCGGTCTTAACCATGAGAATTCCTGTGATGGGCATACGTGGCTCCTGAGACAAGCAGAAACGGGAATACGTACTGTGTACGACTTCGCACGGGAAAGGGATGGCCTTTACAGGATCGCCCCATTCCGCTGGCCATTTATAATTTGCACACATCGACTGGAGAAGAGGTGCCTGGCCGGTCTCTTCGCCGTAGCGAATTTCGCCTTTTCGGCAGCGGCGAAGCGCTTCGATAAGGCGTGGGTCCACAGCTGCTGCTGAGCTGATCCATTTTGTATAGGCTCGGGGCAACCTCGAGGGACTGTAGAACCAGGCCCACATGATGAACGCGCAAGAAGTCGCGAATATTGAAGGATCAGTCATTTTGGTTATGAATGACTCGGCCTGGAATAGGTTAGTGATCGTAGAATTGATGATATCAGTACAGATTTCTTAAACTCACCCGTGTCCACTGGCCGCCAGCGACCCTGCGTTGCTTTCGTCGAGCCCATAGCTCCCCCACGACCACATCAAGAGCTCTGGTAAATGCAAAGAGAGTGAGATCTAAAGTTCGCCCAGCATATCGGATTTTTTCTCGTTTAGTTTCTTGGGACGAGTCCGACTTGACGTCGGTCGTCTCTGAGAAAGCATCACTTCTCCTAGATTGTAGTAAGCGGAGACCCAGCCAAGCCGCAACAAAACTGGATAACCATCTCGAAAGTCTAGACAAAGGTTAGCTGATGTTGCCAATAATAGTAACTTCTGATATGAGGGTGACATCTAAGCGCCAAGCTTTCTCAGTGAAACCTCCCGAGTTGTCTTCGAACTGCCAACTTACCTTTTGCGGGTCAGAGCCGTGAGCTGGCCCCTCAGGCGGATGAAGGCTCTACCAAGTAGCACCTTTTATCAAATTTTATTAGTTAGGGTCCCTTAAAGACAGCCTTATTTACAAGGCTTTTACAATTATAGCTAGTCTTACCTCGAGAAATGTAGTACCGCCTACAAGTACAGCACAAAAAGTTGGGAATCTTTGAAGTTCTAATCCCCCACGTAAGATACGCTGCAGGGATTTGAGAAAAGAATCGTGGGGTGGTGTGGCGCTCGATGTTGCATCCTTGCGTCTCCGTCTGGTTACATGCTGCAGGACCAGATTGAGCAGCGTCGGTGCAACAGCAGAAGCGTACCCTAAGACATAGGCCCGAATGACAGGTCTTAGGATAGGTGGTATAGACTCATCTAGTTTCCGTTTGCCTTTCAGCGCCTGAGCAGACTGAGGAAGCAGCCAAGATGTCATCGCTGCAACATCAGGGTTTGCGCGTGTCTTGCGCGCTGCCGCGATTCTGGGGAAGTTTAAAGAAGGAGATTTCGCGTGACTAATAAAGATAGCTGCGAGATACCCCTGAATAGGATAAGAGCTATGACATGGGTCGGTATATCGAACTAGTATTCCTTGGAATAGTGCGAGATGTATGTATGTATTGTTGATCTTAGGAAATAGCTCCGATATAACAGATTACCTTCTTAAAAAAAGGGGCTAGATATTACATCAGATTTGAGATACGGCGTCGTAGGTAGCTGGCTGGAGATCTGTGTTTTCTCAAGGGCGCTTCTTTAAGACACTCGCATCAGGATTTGGGCTGCCCGTGCCGGCTAGTTGGCCTGGATTATCGAAATGGGTTGCAGCGGAAAGCCGGGCGCGGCAGACACCGGCTTAAAAACTGGGGTGGATGAGGTAAGGGGCTGGATGCTGCAAGATCTTGATAGACCTCGACGATGTGCGAGGAGTGCCAAATAGGCATCAAATACCGACATAGAAGAGGAGATGCAATAACAGAGCAAATTATACAGTGAAGCACTCCAAGCTATGCACGCATATTGATACTAACCCTAGCTCTACTGCGCTGCCGAAGAAAGCTGTGCACACACGCAGCAGTATATGTAGTTATGTAGCTATGGAGGCGACGAAAGCCCTAGAGATTTGGTGTAAGATGGACGAATGAGTTTGGCCGAGATTTCTCCCTCTCCAGAGGAAGTTTTAACGAGGAGGATTTCGGGCCTAATGAACGACTTCGTCTAGTGCGTGGCTTGCTCCAAAATGAAAAGATGCAACCTCAGGATTGCAGAGTAATGCGAGGAGACTCAAGAGAGAGAGGAGGAACTAGAACTAATATCAATGACGACTACTGCACCCCAACCTTGGGGAGAAAAAGGCACCAAGTGGATTGTTTAGACGCAACTCGGGAGTCAACGCCGAGCGCTAGTCATGACAGGTAGACAGTAGGTTGAGTTCGCGGGTGGATGGTGGGCAAACATTGATGAGATGCAGTGAAACTTCAGCTCGCTTTGAGACGGGAAGCTCGAGCTTGAGCTTGATATTGGCAGAAGTTGTGTAAGTGTATTTATTATTCCTTACTTCGGCTGGGATGAAATCAGTAGAGGGACCGCGATTAGTGAGTGCCACTGCGTGCCTATAGGTTGGGTAATGAAATCTAGATGTGTACTATGTAAAGTTGTTTGGCGTCTGGCATGTGATTCCACCTCGGAGAAAGGTCAGTGGTCAGAGCTCGAATAAGAAGTTGCACATACTAGTTACATAAGCAGGCAAGTAACGAAATTATGGATATATCCAAAACATGTCGAGACAGTTTCAACGGCCGTTAACTTAGCAAGTAATTTCTGGAAATACTAGATAAAAAGCCAAAGTCATGTAGATATTGCTCTGCACGGCCTCGCGGCTTTCTCTTGATGTCTCAGTTAACATTCAAAGTTCATTCCCAATCATGAGATCAACAATATATCTACATACATATAACTTTACACAGCAGGTGGCTGAGGTGCTAAGTAACAATCTTATGGCCTAAGCGTCAAATACCTGCATAGGCACATATGCACATATGTATATACTATGCACGCTACCTGACTTAGAGAAATTGTTAGTGGCTGTTTAAGTTTGATAAGCTGCTATTACGGATGGATCGATCAACCCAATCCTTGCAATCCAATCTTTCTACGCAGATTTCGGTACTATGTACTATGTAATAATAATAAAAAGTACGTGACCTGACA